TCCAAACTAGAACCACCACCACTTGGTTGCTTCCAAGATGCCACAAAGGCTGAGTGTGAGTGATCTTTGGCAGCCCTAAACTAGCCACTAAGGCTAAGAGAAGAAGAAGGAGAAGATAGCACAAAGCAAGAGGAAGCACAAAGCAAATCTCCCTTTTCCCTCCTCTAACTCACGGCTCCAAGGTTCAATTTCACACTAGGACTAATCACAAGAAAATCGCCCCACTTATAAGTACAAGTTAAGTGGGCTATAAGGTCAAAACACAAGAGGTCCAATAGATAACAACAAGTGGGCTTTTCAACCCTAAAGCCATCCAAAGTAATGGGCCGGGCCATGAGCAACACTAATGAGATTAGGCTACTTCAAACGGTCCACTTAGGTTGTCGGAGTGGTTCGTTCATTGTGATGTCGACATTTCACTTCAATAATCGGCCGAGGCTTATGAAGTCTAATCCAAACTATAAAACCGGTTTAACATCATTGCCCGGATTTATTGGGTATCAAAAATCCAACAAAAGTGAGATGCAATTGATGGAGAGAGGGAAACAACAGATCTGCAGCATCAGCTGCTTGAAGCTGTTGAAAGAAAAGGCGAGTTGTTGAGTTCTCAATTTGAAGCTCAGAATACCTGTCTTCAGTTGGATAGGGAGCAGCAGAAAGACCATGTTGAAGGGGAAAGGTTCCAGATTAGGTGTACATAACAAATATTTCCTTCAACTCCTTGAATGATATCTCAAGGAATTGGTAGCTATCACTAAGATCACATTATTCGTACGAATTTTATTTTTTTTCTTTGGTATTCTCAAGTCTCGACCTTTGTTATCTTCGAGGGCTATACAAAATTTTAGGTGTACAATAATGGTTTATGTTGATTGTTTTATTCGCGTAATTTCTATTTATCACGTACGTTTTTCTTGATTTATTTAATAAATATGTGTATGTACGTGATAATAGTGGTGTCTTATACTGTTTCATTACTTCATATCCTATTTTTTCAAGAGTTGTTCTTGTACCTCCATTGTTTGTGTTTATGGTGTATGGTGACTTTGGACCTAAGGCCCAGGCCCATTTGAAAATTGCAAATTTGTGTGCAATAAAGGTGAAAAAAGCATCCCATTTGGTGTCCCCACCTCTCCTACTTTCCCCTTCTTTCCTTCTTCACTTTCTCTTTTTCATCCCTTTTGTGTCTCATTTATTATTAATTAAGCCAGTGAGACTTTTCTTGTGTCTACTAACTTTGAGGTTTTGTTATTTGTTTAAGCATCTTCCTCGCTGTGAAGAGTCCTAATTCCCATCATTTTGTCTAATAAAAACAGCTTATTCCCACTTCCACAAGAAACTCAACTGTGCTAATTTGCATTAATCCAAGGGATTAGTGGATCAACTAATCTTGATTCTTTATTTCATTCGAAAATATCGAGTTTACTTCAATTGAAATGGTAAGTGGCTAAAAAGTAAGTAGACAATGCTCGGTAGGCCATGCTCGAACTTCTCAAATCACCTCCTTGATTAATTGTTATCACCGCTAATGCCGGATTTGCACCTTAATTAAGGCACATTTGATGTAGGTTTTTGACAATATATTCGATTTTTTACGAATCTGTGATTGAAAAGTAAAGAAAAATTATGGGTCCATAGGTAAGATTATTTTATTATGAGACGTGGTTGTTTTTTAATTTGAAAAAAAAAGAAAGAATTTTAAAGAATTTGTAGCAAATAAAAGGTTAAATTTTTATTTTTTGCAATGCAATCTTGGCATTGTGGAATCTACCTTTTTCTAACTAGATCTATCATTTGTATTGTATTAATGTTAATTTTGGAATATTTGTAAATAAGTAGATTTATTACTTTTATTCTATTTTTGAGCGACTTCCCAATTTGAAAAACAAATATTATTATCAACAATTCTTTTGGCAAATGGTATTTCTTCAACAATTAAGAAATTCACACTTTGGGTCGATAAGTACCCAAAAACTGCAGGAACTTCCAAGTTTTTCATCGGGAATTGATTATTATTTGCTTTTTTATTTACAATTTCATTTTGATATCGTATTTTGTTCTATATTTTCTTATGTGATTTTACTTAACCCTTATTTGATTTTCTTTACTTTACTTAAATTTAATTCCCATGCTCGTTTTTAACCACAAATTCACACAATAAAATATTCTGTATATACTCAAATTTTTTTCTTTGCAAGCTCGTGTTTTTAAACTTTCAAGGCCACCAAATTGGGACTTAATGAAAACGACACATATAATAGATTATTTTCACAACTCAAGTTACTTGAAACTCAAACATTGACAATTATTTTATATTAAATGGAGGAAAAATTGATTGGTTGAAGGCAAATGAGAGTGTAAACAATTTTGTTAGGGACCCTTGAAAACTATCAAAATTATAGACATGTCTTCTTCTTACATATCCAAACCTTAAATTTGACCTATCCAACTCTAACTGCAAACTTACAATCATAATAATACAAAAAAAGCTGACCTTTCAATTATATACAAATTCCATTATTTTTTTCCTTTGTAAAAAATAAAAGAGAACATAAAAAAAGGAAAAAAAAAAATGAGAAAAAAAGATAACATCCTGGAATGGATTATGGATCCATCTCTTTTTTCAATGTCTGTCTGTCTGGATCTTTTTTTCTTTTTTGTTTAAAGCAAATGGTGGCCTCAACATTTATTTGGTAAAATTGTAGCCCTGAAAAATACTTTGGAAGTTTACATATGAAAATAAAAAGTAATCATCAATCACTCCAAAAAGCCAAAAAAAACATTAGCCTTGAATAGTTGAATCTTCAAACAAAAAACATTCATCAATTCCCAAGATTTTCCATTTACACACAGACAAACACACTCCCTTACTCTGCTTCTTGGATTTGGGTTTGGGTTTGGGTTTTTCTCTATAAGCTTCTATTTTCTGGGGTTTTGCAAAAACACATTCTTTTTACCCCTCCAGAAAAAAAACACTCCAAATTATAAAATATCATACTCACATTATATTTTTCACAAAAAATTCAAACCCTGTTTTCCAGATTTTGTTTTTATGCTATTTAGCCTCGGATTTGGAGCAAGTGTTTCTGTTTGCTTGTTTTCTTTTTCCTAGTTCAGATGAAATTTGAGATCGGAGAAAAAAGTGGGAGCTTTTTCTTTTATGTTAAACAGTTTAAAGTTTGATTTGGCGAAAGATCGGCCCTTTATCTATCGGTAAACGTTTGATGCTAATTAAGAGTTGTAAATCCGAAGAAGAATTAGTTTTACAACCATGCATTTTGATAAGCTCGACGATTCTCCTATGTTCCGCAAACAGGTCTGTTATGTTCTTCTTCATTTTTTTCTCCCAGCAATTCAGTGTAAGTGCGATAATTTAAATTTTATGTTTTCAGCTGGATTGGTGTTTTAAGCTATCGATTTCTCTTTTGGGTGTGCAAAACTGTATTGGAGATTCTTTTTCGCTGAACCTGTTGCTTTTTAGTAATTTTTAGGACTGTATTATTGGAAATGGTTAGTAAACTGTTTGATTTTAATTGTTCACCATCGTATAATTAACTTAGCGAATGTATGAAAGAGTAGCCACTAATCTATTGAGGTTTGAAATTTCCGTCCTCTGCTATTGATAATATGCTTTATGGAAGTCTCTGCACGAATTCTTGAACTGTGATGATATTTCAAGATGTGGGAAGAAATACTGGCTCTGAAGTATTGATATTAAATCTCTACTGCCTAGGCTAAAATTTCTTGTAGTTTGAGCTTCTCAAATGTAGCAAGCTGGCCTAACTTCGCAATCATAAATTATTCCGCCTTTTCCTGGATTCCATTCTCTCTCCCGAGGTCTTGTCATTGATTTTGTACTTCACTGACCATTACTATCCTCGATATCTTTATTGGGATGAATGCATGTTCATTAATGTGTATAAAGGGGAAGTCAAGTTGTTGTTTTGTTATCAACTGCAAGCAGCATGAGGAGTTATAATTAACTTGTGAATTTCTGTTCACTTATCAACATGTTCTTAGCAAAAATTTGTGCTGCATTCAGCGAACAACTAAAACTTATATGAGTTACCGAAAATTTTGTAATCCTTTAACAGCTGACGTGTTGTTTTGGAGAATCCAAGCTCATTCTGTTGGCAATCTATGAAGTGGTCTTAGACAGGCTCTCTACACAAATGCCATTCAAATTTATTTCTTGTAAATTTCTAATATCTAATGTGGCAGGCATTTCTTTTTCTTTTACTAGCTCGTTGGTTCTTTATTATCTGTTGTTGATTTTTGTAGTAGTTTCCTTATATTTATGATTTCCTTTTTCTAACAGATACAAAACTTGGAGGAAAGTTCTGAATCCTTGAGGGAGAGATGTCTGAAATTCTACAAAGGATGTCGAAAATACACGTGAGTACATTTTGTCTTATTTCAGCTTTCTCTTTTTGAAACTCATCTTTGGCAGTTCTTTTATCTACTCTCCTTTTATAAAGCCAATATAATCTCGTCTTTGATTTAACAAGTGTGTAGTGTTGTCATATTTGAAATGGTGACTTACACTTTAGACAATCTAGTTAATTTTCTTTATTTGATTTGTGCTAATAATTAACCATTCTCCTATAGTACCTTGGTATTAAAATAATTTATTATTTCCTTGGTATGTTAATGGTTTTACTCTGGATCATAAAATTACTTGGAATTGATATTGAAAAATAACTTTTGAAGTTTTGTTGTCAAAGCCTTTTGAGTTTGTAATTCCTTCTTTGTAAATGTTATGTGCTACTATTTTAAAATTTCGAGCAAAATGATGCTCCAAGGCACTGCACGGATCTAGTGTTTAGCATTAATCTGTTTTCTGGAGATTGGAAGGTTAGACTAAGATTGTTGATTTTGGACCTCTTCTTCATTATTTTTGCCTTCCTCTTTCTTATTTCTGTATGGTTTCTGATTGTCATTGACTCTCCACAATCTTGTTTATTCCACTTGCAGTGAAGGGCTTGGTGAGGGATATGATGGAGACATAGCTTTTGCTAGTTCTCTGGAAACTTTTGGTGGAGGGCATAATGACCCCATTAGTGTAGCTTTTGGAGGTACAAAAATATGTTGGAAATTTGACTTGTTCTGGGTGCGTTTGATGGATATTATTGAGGAAATAATGTATTTTAAATAATGATATGATGAGAAATATGTGGTTAAAAAGTAAGGAAAAGTCATTGATGAGATGAACAATATTATTTTATTAAAGAATGTGTAGTTGAAAATGAATTTTAAAAGAATGTATTTTGAAAGAATGTGTACCAAACAGGGGTTATAAACATGTCTCAACTGATTCTTGTTACATTTGACCACGAAAATCAGTTTCTCCTATTATTATTCTTTATTATTTACTTCTATTGAGTCACAATGCAGATATAACATCCCTACACATAATATCCTTCCATATTAGTCCATTAGGTACATATCTTGTGTTACCTGTTTCAAGTTGTATGATATAACAGCTTGGGCTCCATTAAAAATAGATTTTCGGGAAACATGTATTTTGGAATAGTGATTTTTTTAGAGAATGTGTGGTTAAAAATAAGGAAAAGTTTTGGGTTTACGTGTAATATTATTTTATTGAAGAATGTTTGGTTGAAAATAAGAAAGAGAAAAATACAGTTTTTCTAAAATGGAGCCCAAACATTGGCAAAATATTATTTGTGATTTTCTTGCAAATAATGTTTGGCTTGATGCAATGATTGTGGAATCAAACTGAAATTTTACGTAGGTTAGATTCTCCTTATTTCTGAAATTCTTTGGTACCCCTACTCATGTGATTGATTACAATAGGCTTCTAAATTAAAAGTTATGGTCAAATTTTATTGTACCAGAAGGTTACATGATCAGAACTTCAATGTGAACTAATTAATTTTGATCTGGTTCCTTTCCAGTTCTTGTTCGCTTAATTTTTTGAATGATAGATCCTCCTGAACCGTTTTGGCACTCGTGGTACTTATGAATGTCCCATTAATGATTTAACGTTGAGGTAAATGAAGCAAAAATCATTTCTAGAGGATAAAAATTATTAATGCAATTCAAAACTCCAGTTTACGGGAAAATTTACAGCTATTGTTACCAATTAATGCAGTTAAACCCTGGCCAAAGGCTTAAGAGTATATACATCCCTCTCTTCCCACCAACATTACCCACCATGATCTTGACCTCCATCCTCTGCTAACCAACTATCTAGGTTGTAGCATCAATACCACAGTAGAAACCCTTATGTTTAATGACTTAAAGACAGACTTTTCTGATTTGTGGTTATGAACGCCCTGATATGTGCTTTCTTTATAAGCCTAGTCTTATTTTACCCTTTTTTTTTAATCTCTGTCTTCTAAATTTTCAGTTTTGATTATGTTGAGGATAAATTACTACTTGCTAGCTTAGTTTTGTATTGGTGAGTGATGACATTGAAGGAAAATATTCTGTACTTGTAGGTCCTGTTATGACAAAATTTACAATTGCACTGAGGGAAATTGGAACGTATAAAGAAGTTCTTCGATCTCAGGTGAACATTTTGGTCGTTATGTTTTCCTAGATTATATTTTCCTCCGTGAATCTATAAACTTGAAGAGAAACTTGAGAGAGGTCTCTTCGTGTTTCCTGCTAATATATTCAGGACTGCAGTTCATATCTTAAATAACTAACGTGGGTCTCTCAGGTTTATTATATTTTGAGTTCATCATTGTTTACTTCACAGTTTTCTTATTTGATTATTCATTGTTTTTTTTTTTGACATGGATGTATCCAACTTTGTGGATTTTCCCATATCATTAAAAGGTTGCAAAATTGATGATTTGCTAACCTGTTGTCATTTTAGTAGCCTATCAAAATTTTAGACTTCTCTTCAGTAACCTATCTTCTTGTTTCCCTTTTATATTTTATTCTAGCTAACATCCGCATGACGTATAAGAATTTTTGAGAAACATAGTTTTTCATGCACTTTTGGTTGCCAACACAAATTTTGCATGCCTCCATTCTAGAGAAGTAAGAAATCAATATTCACTACCCCTTCTTGGGTTTTGAAACAATCTCTTTTCCTAAGGTCAATGTTTCTTCTGAATAACAAATAAGTAGGAGAAAGGTGAAGACATGCACACTGGATTCTAAGTTACGATGTATGCCTGCATATATTTGATTGGCTGCTCTATGTCTGTTCAGGTTGAGAACTTGCTGAATGATCGATTGCTGCAGTTTGTCAACTTAGATTTGCATGATGTAAAGGTACTGTAAATTTGTGAGTTCTCTCTGTTTGTCATTATGGTCTCTTATGTGCAAAGCCTGTGATGACAGAATCTGTTTGTGATTTTAATTGCATGACTTAAGAGCATTTTGTCACGAAAGTCAAGACACAAACCCTTACCTATGTATACCTCATGTTGTGGACTTCAAAATGGAGTTGGAAAAATATATCAAAACACCAAATGCAAACGTTTTCTCTTGCCTAGGTTCTGCAGTAGGAAGAAGAAGAAGGATAGCTTGAAGATTTGACATGAAAATAAGACGGAAAGAAGAAATTTCTTGTTTTTCTGATACACATGTTCTGTATTCATTGTTTTCAAGTACCTCAAAATTTGCTGGCAGGAAGACTTTGTTTCTATCTATTTACAGTTCTTATCTATTAAAAGTTAATTGTGGAGATAAGACACTAAAAGATGAAGGGATTAGTTTCAAAAGTTATTTAATGGAAGATGCAACTTGGATCTTGGGAACCTTTCAACCTATTAGAAGATACAAAACCATACTAGATGGATTTCATGCTCGAAATTGATGGAGTATTTGAACATGACCGAGACAAGAAAAAAAAATGAACCAAAGGGACTTCCTATTAGCATCTGGAAGTGTCTTGGCGAATATATTTTGAGTTTAATGACTTGAGATAATGGGATTTGAGGGTATAAAAAGATTGTGAAGAACGGATGAAGTGTTTCTATAGTAAAGAAGAATCCCAAGATTGCACAAGAAAAGATTCGTTTGGCTGAACTTAAGTTTATTGTGAGAAGATTAAACTAGTTATTGAAATTTGTATGATTTAAGTTGGCTTGTTGATGATTTTTGATGATTACTTCCTGAATATGTTCAATATTTCTCTATTTCTTTATGAGATTTCACTCTTCATGATAGATCACCAGTATTGTCTTAATTTCAAGAAAGATCTTTTATTAGTTTCACTATTAAATTTCTTATGCAGGAAGCACGGAAACGCTTTGACAAGGCTACTCTTCTTTATGATCAGGTGATTTTCACTACAGCTCCTCATTTTCCCCGTTGCCCTTTTTTTATTCTCATGGTTCTTTCATTTGTCCTCTAGGAATTTTTTTAGGTAATTAGCTTGTTTCAGCCGCATTCTTTGCCCATAATGCATTTTAGAATAGTATTTTGATTGAGAATATGTGGTCAAAAAATAAGGAAAAGTTTTGGGTTTGTGTGTAATGTTATTTTATTGAAGAATGTGTGGTTGAAAATATGAGAGAGAAAATATTTTCAAAATAATGGGGACCAAACAAGGGCAATTTGTTATTGAAGCATTATGTTCACATTTCAAATTTTGTGTTCTTAACAAAATACCAGGTCTATTTGTCTAATAATACAACAGATCTTTGATATTATTTGTATTGGCTGCAATATGTGACCTTAGAGGTAGAAACATATGATTTATTGACATCAATAATGATGTTAATAATTTGTTGTAACAATGCAAAGCTCGGTACAGTATATGCTCCCTTAAATCTGGCTCTGCTGAATTTGTTATGGCTTGTTTTTGAATTTTTATAAGTAATATCACTTAGTTGTCAAATGAGGTGGAAATAATTTCCAGTATTCGTAACTGACATCCATGTAAACAAGTAGATAGGAAAATCGAAATAGTTACTATAAATACTGTAATACTATCACCATCTTGGTTCTCTTCTGATTCATGCTGAAGAAATTTCCGAAACAGACACCTCTTCTGTATTAATATCCTTCTGTAGATATTGGATTGGTAACAGGTTAATGCAACACATCTATATTTTAGTTCTAATGCATACACTATTGTTGCAGGCTCGTGAGAAATTTTTGTCATTGAGGAAAGGAACAAAGAGTGATGTAGCATCAGTATTGGAGGAGGTAAAATAGAGTAATGCTATTTTTCATCGTGACGATGGAATATCGGTGATGTGCAACTTATTATCCCTCACATCTCTCTCTCTCTCTGTCTCTCTCCTTTCTCTCACAAAAATTGAACTACCCAATCCCATTATTTTACATAGATTGTCACTTCACCGATGTTCCATTATCATAATGATAAATAACATTATTCGGTAAAATATAAAGCTTGAAGCTACAAAGCTTATTCATTTGTGTATATGAGTTAGTACCATATGCTACATATTCTCATATTGTCTGGAACCTTCTCAGGAGCTTCATCATGCTCGGTCAAATTTTGAGCAAGCTCGCTTCAGTCTGGTGGGTGATGTCGTACCCTTCCGTCTTTCATTAGATATCCTGCAGCCTTCTGGCACTTCTTTCATTTTTTTAATTTGGATGTTAATCGACCAGATAACTGCTCTATCCAATGTTGAAGCGAAAAAAAGGTTTGAATTTTTGGAAGCAGTTAGTGAAACAATGGCTGCTCATCTTCGTTATTTCAAACAGGTAACTTTAAATGCTCGAACTTCTTATTTTTATTTTTTCTTGCTTTTAGTTTCTCAAGCTTTTTAATTGTTTGTTTACTTGTAGGGTTATGAACTGTTGCATCAGATGGAACCATATATTAATCAGGTACATTTACTTCTTGTTGCTTGAAACTGCAGTTCAGTTTTGGGGATTATTCGCTGTTGTTGAATCTACCACTTTCATATTTGTATGATTAAAATAATTTAGGTAACCAGTTTGCCTATTTTGATCTTGAAGCACAATATGCTTGTGTACCATAGATATGAAGAATACGATTTTCCCAATCTTTTATAGTTTAGGATAATCCTTACCGAGTTTCTTAGCAAGACAACTATGCTTGAATGTTTGACATACCTGTGTTATAGGTCTCGACTTATGCAAAGCAGTCAAGAGAGCGATCCAACTATGAGCAGGCAGCTCTCAACGAGAGGATGCAAGGTTACAAAAGAGAGATTGATAGAGAAATCAAATGGTCTTCAAATGGTTCTAATGGTTCTCCTAATGGGGATGGAATACAAGCTATTGGAAGAAGTTCACATAAGATGATAGAGGCTGTCATGCAATCTGCTGCAAAAGGAAAGGTTCAAAGATCATTAACATTTATGCTGACCTGACCTCAGATTGTCATTGTTGTGTTATTTATCTATAACATTCTTAATTCTTGCTTTTCCCTTTTTTCCCCACCTCATTAAAAAGCCTGGAAATTCTTTCAGGTTCAAACAATTAGACAAGGTTATCTTTCCAAACGTTCTTCAAACTTGAGAGGCGACTGGAAAAGAAGGTTCTTTGTTCTTGACAGCAGAGGAATGTTGTATTATTATCGCAAACAAAGCAGCAAGCCATCTGTGAGTACATATTTGAAGTATATCTTGAAATGTGAACTGATCGAAACCTGTTTTTATATTTTACTTGTATCCCATTCCAAATATCATTACTTCTATGCACTGTAGGGGTCTGGCAGTCAACTTTCTAGTCAAAGAAATAGTTCTGAACTTGGTTCTGGGTTGCTCAGTCGTTGGCTGTCTTCTCATCATCATGGTGGCGTACATGATGAAAAATCTGTTGCTCATCACACCGTAAACTTGTTGACGTCAACAATTAAAGTTAATGCTGACCAGTCAGATCTCAGGTTCTGCTTCCGGATTATATCACCAACAAAAAACTACACATTACAGGTACAGTTATCTGCTTTTGTACTCTATCCTCAAATTTTGGTATGTTTCGCGACTTTTAAACGAACTAACTTTTAACTAAGTGGTTGTGCCAAATACACAAGGGACAGCCCTAATGTTGATGGTTGATAGTTTGCATGGGTAAAAAATTCAACCTTTTGCCTGTCAGTGCAGGCGGAGAGTGCCTTGGATCAAATGGATTGGATTGAGAAGATTACTGGGGTAATTGCGTCATTACTGAGTTCTCAGGCTCCTGAAAGGGTAATTTATCAGAGAATAAATTTTTACTTAAAAGTTGATTTCCAAATGCTCTATTGATTGGAGTTTTGTTGTTTTTCAGTGTTTGTCTGGTAGTCCAATAGGCAGCGGTCACCATCGATCCACCAGTGAAAGTAGTTCATTGGAAAGTGCTGATTTTGAGCATGGAGCAGTTGAAGAATACATACCTGACAGGCTTGCCTCTGCTCATATAGAACGCTCTTTGAGAAGCTCACAACACCAAAGATCTGTTATGAAAAGTGAAAAGCCAATTGACATATTGCAGAAAGTATGTGGTAACAACAAGTGTGCCGATTGTGGTGCTCCTGAACCGGATTGGGCATCCTTGAATCTAGGTGTTCTTGTCTGCATTGAATGCTCCGGTGTTCACCGCAATCTTGGTGTGCACATATCTAAGGTACATATATATAATATGGTCTTGTCATCTGACACCGGTGTCCTGTAAATGACTTGTCTTTTTTTTTTTTTTTGGTGGGGTGGGGGGGTTGTCTTGTATGCTTGAAATAAAGGAATTGCCTGAAAGTGCTCCTATACCCATCCACATTGGTTATGAAGAAATGCCCATTCGATTAATGAATTAAAGAAATATCCTTAACTAAACCTGCAAATGTGATTTTTTGGCATCAGAACATTCTATACGTCCCAATAACTATTTGGCTATCACGGATTTTCACTTTTGTATCATTTATTTAAGTAGGTTTTAGAGTGGGAGAGGTATGTAGATTTTTCATAATTTCTTTTGGAAGCCAGTTGTGATTACTTCTATCATTTATTTATAAACTGCTATTCATATGACAGTTTGGCTCCTGTATACTAAAAGTAACTATTAAGGTTTATTCCTCCCTGCAGGTGAGGTCACTGACTCTTGATGTTAAAGTTTGGGAACCAGCTGTCATAAATCTGTTTCAGTCTCTGGGCAACACCTTTTCAAATTCAGTCTGGGAGGAATTGCTGCAGTCGAAGGGTGTCTTCCAGGTTGAACTTGGCCCTACAGGGTAAATAGCTCCTTAATATCGAACACTTCTCGATCTTATATTTAACAATTATTTTTCGTAGTTTGAATTTCATTTTTCCAATAGATTACTGATTTATATTTACATATTGAAGCTTGTACAGGACTAATAAACAGCAAATAGTTCACTTCAGCAAGCCCAGTGCTGCTGATTCAATTTCAACAAAGGAAAAATTTATTCATGCAAAGGTGCTGCTATCTTGGATTCTTGTCCTTACATTTTCCCTTTTTCAGCTGAATGTTTCTTGTAACTTTGAGTAGAAAAAATATTTGTATGTCTTTGTCCTTTAAATTGTGAAGATATTCACAATACTCCCGGTCAGCATGTGTCATTTGATGTTAACTTGACATATCTAATCTTTGCATACATCACTTTCCTGTTTGTATCACATATTTTAAGAATAATTAAGTGGTTTAAAAAAAAAAAAAGGAATCACCCTTTAAATGAGTTTACAATTGGGGAAATGCACTTGAAGAATCTATTTAGACGGACTGCTTGTCTGTCAAAAAGGCCGTGTAATAAATAATTCAGGCAAAATGTGATCTGTGATACCTTCTAGTGGGTAATTATTCAAATTTATTTTCCTGATGCAGCATGCATGTGTTTTTTACTTTACTGCAGTATGCAGAAAAATTTTTCGTGCGGAAATCCAAGGAAAATCGTTCAGTAGCACAACAGATGTGGGATGCTGTACGTGCTAATGATAAGAAGGCTGTGTATAGACTCATAGTTAACTCCGATGCAGATGTAAATACTAAATTAGGTCAAGGAACTTGTAACTCTTCTCTCACCCTTGCCAAATTAACACTTTATCAAGAACGGACCTCCTTTGATCGGTATTCTGGTTGCTTGGAGCCATCATCTAGCTCTACAAGCATGGCTAGTACTGGTGAAGAAAGTGTTTTGGAAGGTCTTCATGGATGCTCGTTGCTTCACCTTGCATGTGAAACTGCTGATATTGGAATGATAGAGCTTCTTCTGCAATACGGTGCAGATATAAATGCTTCAGATTTAAGGGGTCACACACCTCTTCATGCTTGTATTGTCAGAGGGAAAACTACATTTGCCAAGCTTCTCCTTACAAGGTAAATACTTCTTAGAAACCTTTAACACCAGTTCCCTTCCCCAACCTGAAATTCCCACCAAACAACAATACTCTAGAAGGAAACAAAAATGAAAAAGAACAAAAGTTGGCTTCCAAAATTGCCACGACTTTGAACATTTTCCATACGGTTATTCCAAGAGCCCGCAGTAGAAAAAGGGGTAAAAATGAAAACAAATTTTTCTCGACTTTGTTAGTTTATATAGTTGATTTTGTGTATTGTACTCATAAGTTATTGTAATTCTGTATTTACTCAGGGGAGCTGATCCACGAGCTATAAACGAGCAAGGTAAAACTCCTTTCCAGCTGGCGATGGAATCAAATTCTGATGATAGTGAGATCCTGGCTTTATTATCAAACGGGTGATGACGCAAGAGAAGATAACGGAGGAGGATATCGTTGGCCTCTTTCTGTTTGGGTGCAGTTTACTGTAATTACATGTCGCAGTAGTTTAAGGTTCCTTAAATTTGGGATATGAAATTTGGTTAAGTTGTCTCTCTATCTAGTTTGCTAAATAGTATGGTGAGTTGTTGAAAGGTTTTGTTGTAATATAATTAATTAATTAATGTAGTTTTGACTTAATTTTTGTTCTCGAGTGTTTTGTTTAATTAAAAATCAGACTTTTAGTAGATTTTGATAAAAGTTAATGAAATATATAGTTCAACTGTTAATAAAATTGTGGATCCTGATTGAATACGAGTTTGAGAAAAATTGAATTAAATAAAGGAAACAATACAAATATAAGAGGTTCAAATATACAAATTTGAAATTAAGGAATATGTTTTAAGATTTTAAAAATCATGTTATAATTAAATGTATAATTAAAAAATTATTAATTAAATATATTAAGGTCACGGTATTATAATTTATGGCTACAATTATGTACTAGTTAAAATCAAATAACCTCGGTCACATATTACAAATTTTAGAAGTTACAATTTATTTATCAATTACAAATTATGAAACTAATTGGTCGTGCATTTATTTGGACATAAATCACAAATTTTATAAGTTACAATTTATTTATTGGTTACAAATTATTAAATTAATAGGTTACGTATTATTTTTTGGCCAAAAAATTCAAATTTTATATGTCATAAGTTATTTTACAATCAAAAATTATCAAATTAATTGGTTATAAGTTATTTATCGATCACAAATTAATTGGTCACAATCTCACATCTTTAGATCAAATAATTTATTGGTCACAGTTATCGATTTTATTAGTCACATTATTTATTGGTTACAAATTAACCATATTATAGGCCACAAACACAAATTATAGGTTACAAACATTTTTCACCCCACCCACAACCGAATCGTCGCACCTCTTTTGCCACCACCGCTTCCAACACCACCACCACATATTGTAAACCACCACCACCTCACCTCACCACCAACAACCAACAACCAAAAAAACTACAAAACTTTGACTAAGCAAATTGGATTGAAAGAGGAAGAAATACCCCAAAAAATCCCAACCCCTCCCCAATTTTTATCTAGGTACCGCTGTCATGTCTGGCCATATGTGATGTGCTTGAGATGGCACACCACTAGGCGACCTTGCTGCGAATTGCAGCAGTCCTGACGCTGTCGTTTGAATGGATGTCGACAACGACGATAAATGAATGTATACAGATGTCGAGGCTACTTATCGGCGTTGAATGATGATAGACGGGATGCCAACGTTTGAAGCGGTTGCTGACGGATGGGAATTGTGTGGGATGTCGATGGCATGGACTAGTAGTGTGCGAGTATGGCAATTGGGGGTAATTAATTAGGGTTTGGGATTTGGGAGGAGAATGCTGGTTAGTTGGAGAATTATTATTTATATTTTAAATTAAAAAATAATTATAACCTGATTTTTGAAAAAATAATTATAATAATCTTATTTTTGAAGTTGAAAATTTAAATGTTCGTAGTGGGTGTAATTTCCACTTAACTAATGCAATCTTTCTAAGCCCAATTTGCTCAAAAGTAAGCACGTGCTGTTGCACACATTTCATTATTTGCCAACGCAAATGCCAGAAATTTGGCAAATAACCTGATATTAAATAATATATTTATTTAAATATAAAGTCAAATCACTCATTTAATTAACTATAAGGTGCAGTAATAGAAATTGATGTTCCAATTCAGATAACATTATTCAGTCTACAATTATATATATTCAGTTCTACGATCACATCACATCAATGATCATTCCACATCCACGGTCAAGATTCCCTACAGTGTAGCATTAGCATATCAATTTGTCTTTGGACCCCACTTCCTCGCTTAGGCGCGGGAACTCTACAGGACACGCTAAAACATAACCTTTTCCATGATAGTTTATGAAAAAGTTACATGAGCTTGTTTGTTTAGGATTCTCAAATTCTACAATAAATTAATTTTTATTTTTAATCATACATTTTTTAATAAAATAATATTTTTTATCACATTAATAATTTTTTTCTTCTTTTTCAACCACACATTTCTCATCATATAACTATTCAAAAATCAATTCTTCCCCCAAAAATCCCTACCAAACACACTCTAACATAATGTCAAAATGGTCGATTTACTTTCATATTTTAAAATTTTTAATTTTTTTCTATTAATTTAATACATAGAT